GATCTTTTGTTCTTTGATGTGTGATACCTGATCCCTTTGATACCTCATGATCACACTGTCTGGTGTGCTTCTTCCATGTGGGCCTTGTTGTTTCTCAGCTAGATGGCCACTTGTTTACCTCCAAGCCTTTAACACCCCAGAGGCTATATCATTTGATAGTCAGGCACGATCAGCTTTCTTCACCACATTTGCTTATGAGCCCATTTTTCTTCAGCGATTGTGTCAGGAAGGTGAGCATCATGGAATGCCAGGTTAATAGAACAATGTGTTCTTGCATTGAGGAAGTACTTGAGTGGAGGTCCAATATCTATCTGCTACTTTAATACTAAACCTATAAATCTATGCACGTACATCATATATAAATATATTTACATATGTACATGCTGGTTTTAGACCTCTATAATTGCCCTTTGCCTCCTATTTATTTCCTCTGTTTCCTTTTACTTTTCTCTTGCCCCACTATCATGCTCACCCTTCGTTTGGGTTTCAGTAATTCTTCTTGGTTACATTACCCTTGATCAATCCCTAGCAGGCCTCTTACATCCTCCTCATCAGTGATTTTGGATCACTCATTGTTCCCTTGTCCCTGGGTTGGTTAACACCACTTCCTTTCCCCCACCTCCCCCCTCTCCCATGTTGTCCAGACCATCGGTCCATTGTTTTCTCCTCCAGATTGCTTATCCAGCCCATCTTATCTAGATAGACCCACAGAGATAATAATATGCACACACACAAAAAGACAGAGCGAGACAATGTGACAAAAGAAACCAAAGTAAGGACAACAACAAAAAAACCAATGACAAAAAAAGAAAAACCTGTAAATAGTTCAAGGTCTGTTTGTTGACCTTTAGGAGTGTTTTCCGGTTGAGTCTGATGGGGTGCCACACCCTGGCCCCAAAGTCTATATTTGGTACTCCCTCGGGACTTCCTTGCTCGGCTCCCCTTGCTGTTCTTTTGCATGTCATTAGTGTTTTGTCTCAGTGTGGATGGGGTCAGAAAGGGTGCAATCCCCACACTGTGTCTCCAGCGTTGTCCTCTGTAGAGCTATGTGAGGGATGCTGTGTCTTGTAGTGGGGCCAGCCATTTGGTCCTCTCTGTGCATTGGCTGCTCTGACTGGGGATATTGTTGTCAAGGCTTGGTGGGCCAGGATGTGCTCCACTTTCTCTTCCTCCCCCTTCATTTGCTCCCATGTGTTCTGATCAGACATGTCCCTCTCCCTGAGCTGTAGCTTCAGTGCTGTCCTCTGAAGTAAATTCTTCTGGGGGAAGGGGAGGCTGTCCATGTAGTTGGGATTGGGGCTGGTCCCTCACAACTTTTTTTTTCAATGGCATGTTTCTCTTTCTCCAACATACCTTGGAGTCAGAATGCTAGGTGTGGTTGCTTTATATACAAACAAACTCACTGTCATCAAGTCAACAGAGTAGACAAAGTAGAACTTCCCCTGTGGGTTTGCAAGACTCTAAATCTTCACACTTGATCTTAGCCAAAAGCTCGAGAAGCGTTAAGGCTGTAACTCTTTATGGGAGTTGAAAACCTCATCTTTCTCCCATGGAGCAGCTGGTGGTTTCAAACCACTGACCTTGTGGTTAGCAACCCAATGCATAATCGGCTACCTTCTTTTTACATGGGTTTTTATTTTCAAGTCTATGTTAATAAAGTCAAGAGTTGAATAGAGGTAAGAATCCAGAAAATGTAGGCCCTCAAATGACCATCTATATAAATGTTGTTCAAAGCTATTAAGCCAGTTCCAATTCATGATGACCTCATGTGCAATAGAATGAAGCTTTGCTCGGTCTTCACTACTGTTGGCACACTTATGTCCACTGTTGAATTCACTGCACATTTTGAGTGCTTTCCAACCTAGCAGCTTGTGTTCCAGCACTCTGTGGAACAATCTTATTTTGTGATCCATTGGGTTTTCAGCAGTAGATTGCCTAGCCTTTATTGCTAGTCTGTCTTATCCTGTAAGCTCCACTGAAATCTGTTCACCACAGGCAATGCTGCTGGTATTAGAAATACTGGAAACAGAGCTTCCAGCATCAGAGTAACACACAAGCCACCGCAACAAGACACATTGACATATGGATGGTGTATCTAATTATGCTGTAATGTGCACAGTCTTCCCAAGTTGATCTTGAGCCACAGCCATTGGTTCAAACTGGTCGGCTTCCTACAGCCCTCTGAATGGTTGCTGCAATCTCTCTTTGGCCTGATTTATGAGGGGGCTTCAAAAAGTTCGTGGAAAATGGAATGAAAATACAATGGAGTTTCCCCATGAACTTTCTGAAACCTCCTGGTAGAGCCTCATCTCCTTCCTATTCTTTATTTGCACTTAACTTCCTGATCCTGCCTCTCCTCTTTCCCACTAACTCTACATATTCTCAGAGTACAGGCTGTTCTTTGACCAGAGTCCAAGTGTAGGGACCTTATAGTGCTGATCCATCATAAACTGACACTTACAAGTCAATTCACCAAGGTGGGAATACGTAGCATACTGACATCCCTCCAATGGAGAGACATTATTCATCATAAGAGCTTGGAGGCAAGCTAAGCTTTGAGAACACACATAGTATCTGGAGCATTGATTCTACTTTCCATTTCGTTTTACCTGAAAAGACAGGTTCTTCTGTACCAGTACCAGTTGCCATTGCTTCAACACTGACGTGTGATGACCCCATGTGTGTCGGTGTGGAATTGTGTGTGCCCCATAGGATTTTCAGTGGCCGAATTGTGTTTTCTCCCAGAAGTAGGTCACCAGAACTTTCAGTTAGCAGGCATGCACATTAACTTTTTGCACCACCCAGGGACTCCTTAAAATATATCGTATGTGAGTTAAGAGCTTTTGGAAGGCATGAGTAATTCACTATGTTAGGTTTTAGTGACAAACATTAAGCAAGTGATCAACTGAAAATGAAGGCCAATAAAGGAATGTACATACCTGTTTTTGTAGTCCTTTAGGACTCTGTTAGTGTAAAAGGTGGCTGCATCATTCATCTCCTTGACATAAGGACCAGGTTTGGGGGACTGAGAGAACAGCACAGAAAGGGGGGCGGGGAGAAAGAAAGAAAAACAGCAAGGTAAGAAAGAAAATGCCTTAAGGAAGAAACAAGGCAATAGGGATGCTGAACTTGCAAGTTGGAGGCAAATGTTGCTTTGTAAAGGTTGGTGAACCACTCTCCACACCATGGAACAGAGGGTCATAAAGATGCCTTCTGTCCAAAGAAATTTTCTGCAGTGCATCAGATGGAGGAGGAGGAGAAGCATGGTGGTAAACGTGGAAATCACAGCTAGGGTGTCCTATACACTGTAAAACCGTGAGCAGGCGCAGGAGACCTTCACACCTGGACTCACCACAGCTATCCAACCCAGGGCAGGGATGCTTTCGCTGACAGCCGAGAGGTGATTAAACATGTTGCTTCCCCGGTTTCTCTCTCTGAACATTTGGATCTCCTGAATCTTCTCTGATATTGGTTTCAGCAGGGCAGCCATGTCATTCTGTGAAGCACAAAAACATTGAGGACTCTTAGGGAGGAGAGAACAGAGACACACCATGTCTCTCCACGGGACTAAAGCAGCATACTCAAGACTTGTCATTTGTCTAGTGCCTAAAGGAAATATAGATAATCTTGTGGAATCGGATCGTTAGAACAGATTAGTGTGATTGTTCATGGTGTGATGTATGTTAACTTGGCTAGGTAAGCCAGAATTCTCAGTGGGTTGGAAGTTAAAGACATAGCCCCCAGGATGATATCTACAGTGAACCCTCGTTTATCGCGGTTAATCGGTTCTAGACCCTACCGTGATAAATGAAATTCCGCGAAGTAGGATTCCTTATTTGTAAATCAAATATTT